ATTATTAAGTAATGCTTAAAATAAAAGGTCACACATGAGTTAAAGTTTAGCACCTCAAGTCTCCAGCGTCCAGTCAATAAGTGTCATTCTGTCACTCATTACCACCACTGTGCTGTCATCAACTGTGCCAAAGTACGAACAAAGAGAAACTGTAAATAAGTCCAGAGGAAGTGCCTACACTCCAACTGCGTCTACACTTACTGGGTAGATGCAGTGGGAAACTACAGAAAGCATCCACACAGGTGGAGATTAACCTTTTCATGCACATTCTGCTTTAAAGTGAAAAAAGGGGAAAGATCATCGATTCAGATCTGTTCTTTCTACACAATTTCTGGTTTTGCTGCTTCTTTATTCGCAACGATGTAAAGTCCTCTGGTTTGCCCACAGCGGCATCTCCTGCCAATGAAAACAGAACAGCAGTTATGAACACGCCAGATGAGGACACAGCGTGTCATTGTGTGATTTATATACGGGGAGAAGATTACCTGAGATTTTCATATCTGCAGCACAGGATGATGCATGCAAGCGCTATCACTATGACAATGACGATGACAATGACAGAGATGATCCAGTGATGAGAGTTCCCTGAGAAGGAAAACAGATTTAATAATATTTAATATTGCATTAAAGGCCAAATAAATTATTCACAGCTAATAAAAACAGTCACGTTCTCGGAGTTTATTACCTCTCTTAAATAACTTGAATGAGACGACACACAGCATGCAGCCCAATGCTGATAAACGCTGTTATTTAAAGATGATGTCATAAATAAATAGAGCGGGTAAAAAGCACTAATGTAACAAAGTTTGATCTCTCCACTGTAACTGATCTAATAATGAGGCCATTTCCTGCATTTGTTCATCACGTGTGAAAACATGCAGACGCTGCCAAACATTCCTGTGATTTAATCACGTTTCATTTCAGTTTCGTTTCTTTTAGTGACACACAGACACAGTTACATAAATACTGACTGTTTTTTTCAACTCGGCCTCCGGGCAAAGGTTCGGGAGGGCAGACGGCTGCAAAAGAACACGAGAAATTCATATTTCACTTCAAAATTGATGAAAACAAAAACCCGACACAATGTGAGGACGGGGCAGCGATGCTCACCGGTGCAGTTGGCCGTGTAGTCGAGAGGTTTCCCCTACGGAAAACAAAAAGAGACAGTTATTAGGATGAAGCACTGCTGACGGGATTGTTTTCCCTGCATATTTATTTTGCGATTAGCAGATTTGCAGAGTAAACTCAACCTCTCCTGAGCAAACAGCACTATTCACACTACAACACGTCCGACAACACAGGCAAGCTTTTTCCCTCAAGCGTGCAATAAAGTTTTTTCTCATATTTGGAGGGGTGTACCTTGGAGTTGATGTGTCCTTCACAGAAAAGGTTTTCGATGCAAGCTCTGACAGTCAGAGCGTTGAAGCTGCGACTTATCACCACATCAATTTGACCGACGTGGTTGGCGAGGACGTGTTTCTAAAGTCAGCAAATGAAAACAAATAAAAATGATCAGCC